CCATACATATATTTTCAAATAGTAATTTTTCTATCATTTCGAGGAAAAATATTGTAGAGCCAGTAAAACTATTAAATAAAGATAGGTTATTGCGAGAGAAGAAAGCGACAAGAAATAAAGATTTTTGTGAATAAGAAGCAAATGTTTCCGAAGTGGCAGCGCTAACAAACGTTTCAAACTCCTGCCTCTTCGGGCGTTCAAACTTTTTAATCGTGGTAATCTGCCGCCTTAAACCTATACAAAATGGTAAGTGTTGATTAATTTTAATGCATGATCTATCGAAAAGGGTGACCAGTGGGTTGTTGTTGCGTCTGTTTCCTTTCTTTGCTCTTAAATATGGAGATGTTTGGGAAGTGATGCCGCTACCGAGATGAATATATGTTGTGAAAATAAAGCTTGATTTCGTGATTTCCTTCTGTAATATAATTTTTATTACCTTAGGTATGCGAAAAGAATGATGTTAAAATAAGTTAGGTGATACAAATCGTGTTTTTTTTTGCCAGTTTTTAGTCTGGCTTTCATACTGAACGGGAGATGCTTTTGTCAGATGTGATGATATTATTTTCAGCTTGAGATTAAAATGTCACTATTGGTTCAGAACTTACCCTTGGGAAGTACATACACAAAGTATCCAAACACGAGATTCAGAAACTGAACTAGAGATGATGCTCTGTTAGGAATTTTGACTTTTGCTAAACCTTACTAATTACCTCAATGGCATTCAATAAGTGACTCTTCTAATGATAATATGGTCTTTAGGACAATATGTAGTATAAGGTAGTGGCAGAGTTGGGTAATAAAACCTACATGAAATGATTGAACATTTTGGCTAAATCGCTTATCTTGTTTACATTGCGAGGGTTAATTCTAGACGCATATACTACTATGAAGGTCCAGGGGGCAAGGGAATATATACCACGGTGTTAGGTTAGGTTGGATGTTGGGTTAGAACGTTTTATTTAACCCAGTGGTGACGGGTGAAGAAAACAAAATCAAAAATACTATGCTCTGGCAAACCATGGCAGTGTGGGAGTTCGGTACATCAGGCCGAATCACTGGCTCGCCGCGCTTTGGCGTACAGCCGTATGCCACTTTTCGAGCGGTTTGTTTTCACGCCTATCGGCATCACCCATCATGAAGGGGTTAACAACCACGGGGGTCCTGTTTAACCCCATAATTTCCCTGATATACTTCATGTCCTCCCCTGCTATCGGGGCTATCAAATCAAGATTGTCGATGGAGATGATCATATCTCCTCAACTATTCATTTGCATAAGGAACAATGCCTAGAATCATTGAGCGCAGTAGATTTCATGCAGAAAAATATCAAAATTGTTTCGAAAGTAACCCACTACCCTCTTCTACATATTGACCTAACACTTCATGCGAACTTACAGAAAACTTGACAATAAGAACTGTGGGTGTTGTGGACTTAGTTTCTAAGCTGTGAGATGCAGAGGGTATTTTCGTAATTTCTCAGTAAATATGAGGCTGCCACAGATATACCTCTATTGCTTCCTACCCTGTTTTTTGTGCTCTATAAGATGGTGGTTTCCATTTCCCTCTATATCCGTTTGTTGCTTTCGGTAACGTTAACCAATAATATTGCTTGTATTTTATTCAAATCCCCAAGATTACTAGGATCTTTGATAAGAGGCCCATAATCAGAAATCCTAGTAGTCCTATGGTGTGAATGATTATGGGATGGTTACACTAAGCTACACATATTGAAGATGATATCCTTGTAGAGGGCAGAAAGGGTAATTCTTTACAGTATGGACACACTCCCCAACTCTACACTGCCAAAGTTATTCACAATTTAAGTAGCCGTGACTGGGTATGCCCCTCAGGAACTGCCTGAGGGTAGGGTTGATTGGGGGCTCTGCCTCCCAATACCCCCCCAACAAACATTGTCTTCACCTCGGTCAGAATAGCAAAATAGAGCTGAAAATCAGGAGTGCCAAGTGGACTTAGGCTCTGATGTGGTGTTACCATTCATGTCTGCAGATTATTTCTTGTATTAACTATTGCAACTCTTAGTCCTCTACAAGAATAGACTACCATCTTGAATTTAGCCTTACTTATTGCTTTCATACTGTAAAGATTAACCCCCAAAAGTTTTGGTCATCAATACATAAATTAACAGCAGATACAAATTTAATGCATGATACATCAAAAAAGGTGACCAGTTGGTTGTTGTTGCAACTGTTTACTTTCTTTGCTCTTGAATATGGTAACACCACAAATAAAGGAAAAAGATCATGGAAAGTGATGCTCACAGTTTGAGTCCACTTGGTGTTCTTGAGTTTCAGCTATGTCTTGCCACATATGTAAGGTAATATTTTGCGGGGGTCTTGAGAGGTGTCTGTTTGGTGATTGGAATGTGTCATGAGATATTATTGCCAAATGGTATATATAGTGTTGCTATGAGTGCACAAAACTCTTAGTGGGAGATTAGACTCAGTGGTCCTTTAGGAAAGGGCTCTTGCATTATTTCCACTGGTAAACGAGAGGAGAATATACTGGCTGTGAGCCATGTCAAGAGAAGCACCAACTCTAAGTGGGGACACTATAGCCATTCACTGAAATCTATTCATGCTCATCTTGACTAATGGTGCAGGCTGAGTTAGTTACAAAAATATTTTTGAAAGAACACAAATAACATGTTGCTTATCCTTATTGTTATAACTACCTAGAGAGATAATGTGAAGTTGGCTCAGTAAAAATAGTCTTTTACCATCTTGATACAGCATAACAAAATGGGAAGACAGCACACACAGGATAAAAGGTAATTTCAAAGAGGAGGCAAAGAGTCTTGATATAGCCTACAAGTGTTTGTGTGGGGCAGAGCCTCAGGTAAGGGAATACAGTTATGGGCAGTTTTGTTGCCTTTTGCCATATTGCAGACAAGCATAGAGGGTGCTATAATTTGTGAATTGGCTAGTGGTACGTGTAAGTAAACTGTAACATTAATCATTTCACCTCACTAGAATCTATGTAGTAGATTAGAAAATTTTATTACGATTATTTGTATTTATATGTGGAGTTGAACTCTAATTACAGTTGGTAATTTTGTAGAATAAGGCTGGAATGTGGAAGAGAAATACGTAAGGATTGTCAGTTGTCTACCAGAATGGAACAAAAGGACAATCACAAGTGTGGGTACACACTGATCTTGAGTCCTCCAACCTTTCCTGCCCTTCTAATTTTTTCACGTGGAAGGCGGATTGTAAAGCAGTCACCAGTGTGTGGCATAGCATAGGATAAGGAAATCCCATCATGAATAGGTTAACCCATTGCTACCAGGGAAAATGCTGTACTCATTTTTTGTATTTTTTTTGTGAAATGTTTCTACACATAGATGGCTCTGCCTTACCTGATTTCACCTTTCCTTGAATTGGCGGGAAAATGTATTTTTTACTAACACTATGAATATTGATGGTGGTATTTTTATTATTAACATTATAATTACTATAATGTTATAAACATTCGTAATAGGAAAATAAGATAATCTAAAATATTTTCCCAAATTAAAGAAAATGGTGAACAGGCGAGACAGGCAATACTCGTAATTAGCTCATTGGTGATTTAGTACAAGTGTAGCCATCTATGTGTAAAAACAATCAAATAAGTAAGCTCACAGTGGACATGGCATGCCCGTTGGCAATGGATTAATAAAGGCTACTGGAAATAATCCCAATACTTCCTCACACTCGGTACCATTGTTAAGCTTCTCAGGAATCTCCACTTCCACAATAGACTACCATGTCAGAAAACAAAATAAAGAAAGTGCCCTCCAGGCCAATATTTCGGTATGCCTCCCATGCCTGATCAGTCAGAAAGGTCACTAACAAATTCAAATCCAGGGAACTCTAGATTATGGCCGAGACATTTTCAAGGGTATCACCTGTTGACAGAATTGATGTAGCTGATATATTTAAAGCTAATCAGGCCACGTTTAGGGAATATCTAGGTGTGGCAACATATAACACGTCCCAAGCAGTACTTTCAAGAGAACCTATCTTTTAGGGTCAAGCAAGAGGTTGCTATCATTGTCAGTCTAAATTAGGCTTATTGTAATCCCAAGAATTACCTTTGTCAGTACAGCTGGCAAAGGCAAAGCTGGAAAAGAAGAATTAGCCAAAAAATTAGCAAAAATTCACTCATGGTGGCTACATACACAGTATAACCAGCACTCACTGTGGCTTTTGCCACAAGGCTAAGAGTAAATAGGCCATGGTGATCGCAAGACTTAGTCAGGGAGGGGAGGAAAGTTGGAGAATTATCAAATTTCCTCTCATGTACTTTCCATGCTTTTTGTTATCCATGATTATTTATACTTTTCTCTTGTTTTCAGACGTTCTCCAAGAACAACAAGATGCTAAGCCACATTGGCTACCGGATGAAAGTAACCATGCAAGACAGTAGGACCTTCATTGGCATCTTCAAAGGTTTGTTATTGATAAAGTCTACTTACACATTACATAATTCTCATCTCAGATTGATATATAATAGGTTACTAAATATGCTTAACCCTTGGTTTATGTTGCAAGCAGCTGTACTTTATATAATTATATGAATTATCCCTATCTATTTGATTATTTCTTGTATTTGTCTATTTGTTTATTCCTTGTTCTTTAATGTAAGTATTTAGTATGAACCACATAAATTCTCTTCCTTGTTCTCCTCTTCCTCTTTCCCTTTACTACCCAATCTTGTTTCTCTCTCTTCTCCCAGTTTCTCTTGCATGACTAAATAGCCATTCCCTTACAGCCTTTGACAAGCACATGAATGTCATCCTCGCTGACTGTGAGGAGTTCCGCTGTGTGCGTGGGAAGAAGAATAAGGAGGAGAAACAGGAGAAAAGAACAATGGGCCTAGTACTCTTGCGCGGAGAAACCATTGTCACCATGACCCTGGAAGGACCCCCTCCCTCTGAGGTGAGTTTCAGTATGAGTTCCCGGATCACTAGCTCTTTGAAATAGGGTGGAGAAAGGTAATTGTAGGTTCCTTTAGCCCTAATAACAATAAGCCTTCTGCTTGTCTGGCCCTCCAGCCTCTTAACCCCTTCCCAACAGGGTATGCTGCGGCGATGCGCCAAAACGCTACAAGCCGTAGATTTGGCTTGATTTACCAAACTCCCATGCTCAATGTCGGCGCATTGCCATTGATCTCCAGAGCATAGTTTCTTTCTTCTTTCTACTTTTTCTTCTTCTTTTTCTTCTTCTTCTTCATTATTAAGGGGTTAAAAGACTAAAATTTTCAAGTTTCATGAAGCAGATTTTACTTTGTCATTTAATTTTCAAATACATACAGGAAATTGCCTGCCAGATTTTAAGAAGCTTTCTATAATCATTGTATAAGGAATTTATTTAACCCATTCACCCCAGAATTTCCTGCTTGTTGCTAAACCCCCCAGCCAGTATCAGTTGTCAGCCACATGGGCCACCGCTACAAGATTTTTTCTGACATGGCACAGCTGTGCAAAGACAATCACATAAATTTTGCAGGAATTTGTCCACAGATTTTGTAGGATTATCGTCTTCTATGAATGTGTAAAAATTACACTTTTTACAAGGTGTTTTCTTGGCATCCTTTTGCCTTTTGTATTGAAGAGAGATACTGAAGTTCTTCCAAATTGTCCATATTAGGTGATGACATCAAAAATTTAGCTCTCTCTTTCATTTCCATCAAACTTGCAAATGAAGGAAAATATGAAGCATGAAAATAAAAATGGTATAACCATAGTCAAAAAACATACCTGCCTTCTTAGAGGACGACATGTCACCCTTTCCCTTAAAAGTGTATATATGAAATACAGATGTATCCCGCACCTACATTGAGAGCTTGTAAACTTTGATGTCAAACCAATTGATCATGCTCAAGTTGTAAGTCCTGAAGGTGAGGCAGCCTCTGAACTTCCATAGGGACTTGTCAATTGAGATATTCTGTCCTGGTGTGTACACCACCTGGAATCGAGCCTTGATGATGTGAAGACTGGCCCCAGCTTCCACAGCTTGTCTTCCTCATCATGTGCTACCTTGTTGTTAACAAAGTTCAGATTATGAGAGATCTCTTTAAATCTCTGAAGAGGCATGGTGGAGGGGAAGATCTCCAAATGGAACCCTGGGTTCTGAGACCAATAGTGGGCCAAGCGTGGTTTATAATTGAGGCCCATCAGCAGCCGCAGAGTCAGGTACAGATGCTCCTCAACTGTTGTCACTGGCTGCTACCTACAGCCATGCCTTCAGGTCCTCTCATGAACCTCTGCAAATCTCCACATGAAAATTAAGAATTAATTTATGTAGATACCTCAATTATCTTTGCTGCCTGAATATAACAGAACTGTGGACAAATATATGCATATTAACTCTACATACCTATTTTGTTTCCTCCACGAAGTGGTCAATAAGCTCATTGGTGACAAAAGCCCTGTAGACCTCCAGAGTTGTGGATTTTGCATCCAGCTATTCCTGTATGCCTCAGTGCCTCTTGATAATTTGCTACTGTGGGACATTTTCTCTTTGTCTCCAAGAGAAGTATGGAGTCCCTGGTGCATTCTTATTCCACTTTCGAATAGCATACTGAGCAAGTGACTCATCGCTAGTCAAAGTGGTGTCATGTGTTGTGTCATTTACTGACACAGTCTGGCTCACCATCACTGGGCATTTTGTAGCCCTTGGAGTCATCCAAGGACTCATCGTGAGGGGCTTTGATTGTCCTCTGAGGAGTGATGAACTGATACCTCAGCTCTCGACATGGAAGGAGGGGGTTCCCAGATCGTTCAGCTTGAATGAGCCTTTGACTTACCTTTTATGCAGATAAGGAACCCCTCAGCTCACACCAAATGACCTAATCCACCAATCAAAGCCATTACTATATTCCAGACTGTCTGGCCAGAGTACTTAATAATCACACAATCTAGTATAAACAAAGCAAGTGATTACAGGTCATTAATTGTTTCTCATAATTACACATGCCACATAATTATCAACATCAGCACTGACATCTATTGGGTCAGAACAATAAAGTCAGTCATCATGGCAAGAACACATGCCATACAGACAGGGGCTCCTACAAGTCATGCCAAGATTAGATGTCATACATGTTGAGGCTCTAAGATTAGATGCCAAATGGGGTGAATGGGTGTTAAGGGGTACTTCCAAGTCATTTTGATAGAGAATTACTTATTGAAAACCAACAGCTGTATTCCATCTCTGTGTTGGTGCTAATGTAAAGTAGTGATGGTTAACTTTTGTGTTTGGTATCTGTCTACCTTAGGCCACCATCTCTTAACCCCATTCCTATACCTCAGTCAGCCTTTTCTTGTGTCTGGGTGTTTTTTCCTCAGTCAGCCCCCCCCCCCCCCCCCTATATGCCCTCTCCAAGTCATTAGAAACCATATCACTTCCCATCCTGTCCCTTCCTTCAGGTCCCTCCACTATTTATGTTATAAATGCATAATACATAATTCATTACTATATGAATTATGGAGAATGTGTATTTATTGTATTGCATAATTTATTTACATCTTTTATTAAGATTTTCAGTTTTTGATTTAAAAGAAGTATCTTGTTCAAATTAAAGCTCCGCTATTCAGTATCTGTTTGACATAACAGCATAGGATATGTATTTTCTGATTTGTGAAATTGAGCTCTTCAAATTCTGTAGGCCAAATTTCCCTTTGCTGTATATGTCAGAGGCAAAGGAGGAACATCGTATCTGTACTTCAGATTTTGGGATTTTGTTGGCAAGTTTGAAGTTAATGCTATCACAGTGGCAAGTGTGCTCTGGTTATTTCCCGCTATTTTGGGGTTAAGAGGAAGAACAGTAAACTCACAAAATTAACTCATGTTTTGTGAATATAAATTTCTCTTGTTTGCCTTATTTGATATCAATATCCTTTCTTTTCTGTGGTATTCAGTATAAATAAGACTGTCATTTGTATGAAGAAAGACACAAATATCCACAATATAATAGAAAGCAAAATTACTTCTGGAGGTTTGTTACATCTACTTTCCTCAGCTGACAGCTGTATGTTTAAAAATAATATTGCCATTTACATTGTCTTATTCTATACTCCAAATACTTGTATATAATAAGGGATCTCTTCAACCATGATAGCTTCTTTGTACTTGGTATTAGACTATGTACATCTTCAGCTGTAAGATCAGCAGAGCAGAGACTGTAGCATTGCCAAATCAATTTTTTTCTAAGGCCTGCTGATGTGATTGTTGCTAGAATGGGAGAAGCAACTTGGTAAATGACATTCAAAATCAAATCATCTGGTACAACCTGTTTAGGAGTCCCAGAGCAAGACTTGAAACAGTTTTATATTATATAGAAAATAGAAGTACAAAATCAATTTCTTGGTATTACTGTGGGTTCTGGTATTAAAATTTTCAGATTATTATTGTCCTTGAGCTTTTGTTCGCAGGTGGCATCTGCAAAGATGCCATGCTGGCATAGCGCCAATGCCAATCCCTATAGATGTAGCCCATGCAGATATATCTGTTTGGCAGACTGCGTGGCCACCAAAAAAAGCCTGTGCTCATTGAATTAACAAACATTGAATATGATTTTGCCACTAAAGTTGGAAATGAAAGATTCACACAATACTTATCTTGCCTTTATATAGTAATTTTGCATTAAATAAATGTATGTAAGACAACAGCATCTTGAGAAAACCTTAAGATACTAGTCGACAGTCATACTATTTTAGGGGCTATTAAAAATCTTAGATACTTGTAAAAGTATTATGATTATCTTTGTCGTTTATGCATTATTTTTTATTATTTATTATCACTATTATTGGTAATGATAGTATTATGGATAAAGTAAATGTTTGACAATGGCATGACAATTTGCTTTTTAATGATAGTAGATCCTCATAATGTTCATGTAGCTGATGATTTATATAGATATCATCATTTATATACAGTATTTGAGAACAGATTCTTTTAATGCTATAACAGTACCAGCACTTAGTTATATTTCTTCCAGTAGACTTATGCAGTTGGTAATCCCTGCCCCTTTTTTCTCCTTTAGGATGGCCCTCGTGTCAACCTTCCCGGCTCTGCCCCTGGCCCAGGTGTTGGCCGCCCAGCTGGACGAGGCATGCCTGGCCCTGGAGGCGCAGGATTGCAAGGTCCCGTACGAGGTGTGGGAGGACCCTCACAACAGATGATGCAGCCAGCAGCACGTGCCGGTCCACAGCTCAACATGCCTCCCAGAGGTCCCCCTGGTGGCATGCCCCCTCACATGATGGGTGGGATGCCCCCACACATGGGCCGTGGTGGTCCCATGGGACCCCCAAGTGGACCAATGATGAGAGGAGGTAATGTGACATAGAAGGACAGTCTCTTTTTAACATTTCTGTCAAGTGAAAGATTTATGTTAAATTATTTTTTCTATTCCATTTTTGCCAGGAATATGCCCTATCTATGCTCTTAGTTTTTACTTATATATTTATTTTTGCTTATTTATTATCAATATATTTTGGTACACGTAGATGCCATCTTTAATGCATAGTCATTAATCAGTTAGTGACTAGGCTGACTTAAGCTTAGGTGTTTACCTTTTTCCTTGAATTTAGGGGATTGAGGGGTTATCCTCACAGACCTCTCAGTTATCTGCAGTAGATTTGAAAATGACTGAGCTAATTACATTGATATCATTCTCAGTTCTTGCATACAGGCTGTATATAAAAGGGAGTAAAAAGGAAATTTGAGCAGTGTAACTTTCTGGCACCTGCATGGCAGAGAGGCATTTTTTTTTTGGGGGGGGGGGGTAATTTGCAGCAAATTTGTGGATCTTTTAGTTCCATATTGTGAAAACAAATATATTTATATTTTTATTGTTTATTCATTTTATTTATATGTTTTATAATTAGAGATTTATTTGATTTTTCCTTTGAGCAGCTGACTGCATTCACCCTGTTCAGTATCCCTTTATCAGTGGGTTAATCCATTGAATCCAAGTGTCTCATGGCACTTCCTCGAGTACTGACTCTCCCAAGTGTGTGGCCTATGCCTGGCCCATATGAACACTTAAATACAGTATCAAGACTTCTTGCTTCCCTTCTTTTGAATATGTGCTTTTACTGTTATGCCATTTTCCTAGGTCTGTATTATCATTCTGGGGTAGTTTCCAGTCTGTGCAATGATAGGGAACAATAAGTAACATTATTGTTGTTGTTTTTCTCTTTTTTCTTTTCTTTTTTCTTTTCTTTTCTTTTCTTTTCTTTTCTTTTCTTTTCTTTTCTTTTCTTTTCTTTTCTTTTCTTTTCTTTTCTTTTTTCTTTTCTTTTCTTTTCTTTTCTTTTCTTTTCTTTTCTTTTCTTTTCTTTTCTTTTCTTTTCTTTTCTTTTCTTTTCTTTTCTTTTCTTTTCTTTCTCTTCTCTTCTCTTCTCTTCTCTTCTCTTCTCTTCTCTTCTCTTCTCTTCTCTTCTCTTCTCTTCTCTTCTCTTCTCTTCTCTTCTCTTCTCTTCTCTTCTCTTCTCTTCTCTTCTCTTCTCTTCTCTTCTCTTCTCTTCTCTTCTCTTCTCTTCTCTTCTCTCCATGTTATTAAATTTTCCATAACACTCCACCGCTGATAATGGTGGATAGAGAATGGTTCCTGCACATGGATATAGTGTCCTCCCTGGAGACAGCTCTCTTCCAGGCATGGTTGATAAATACTTAACTATTATCTCCATGGACTAGTAGAAATCCAACAGGAGCTCATTAAGGGGCCCTATTATAAGGTCTCACTCTAAATGCTTTGTGTTCTTATAACAGGAGTTTCCAACACGGCATGATAAGACGTTCTCATCACCTGCTCCTCAATCAGGTGTCTTTATGATGAGAGGTTCCCATCAATTGCATTTCAGCCAAATGGGATCTAATGGATTGACTAAATCCCAAGGATCTGGGTGACATTACCATCTCATTGTGAAAAGAATTTGGCTGAGGGCAGAGTAATGGGAGTATGCTGTCATGGAACATTTTGGCATAGGGCAGGGATAATGGGAACATGCGGTCATGAAAAACTTGGGCTGAAGGTGCAGTGACATGAAAAACTCACCACAATTGCACAATACTCTTAGATGGTGATCAGACTCAGTAGGCATATAGGAAAGGGTTTGTCCATTGTGTCCACTGTTAGGAGAGTGGAATATACCACTCCTATAGTCATGACTGGAAGAGTGCTGGTTCCAGGGAGGACATTATTTCCTTGCTCAGGATCCTGTTCCTGCCCACTGTGACTGGTGTTCCAGGCGTATTACAGAAAATTTAATAATATGAACATTAGCAAAATTACACACACAACAAAATGTTACTTCTTATTTATATTGCACGAAGTTCTAGACTACCTAATGGGGGGAGGGGGAAAAAGATGTGCTATGTCAAAACAAGGAGTCTTGACATATAGCACATGGGTGCTCCTGTGAGTCGGGCCTATAAACCACACACTTGGGAGTCATATCACGCAAGTAAGCCCAATGCTTGGATTTTGGGCCACGGGCAGGCGGCAAGGTACCCAGATCCAATGGGTTAACTACTTTTTACAAATTATCAGTGTCCTTGATATAAACAGTGAAATCTTCAATTTCCTTGGTTTTATTTTGTAGTAGATGATTTTATTTATTTTTGCAATATAGAATTATCTCCCCCCACCCCCCTTCCCCCTTTCCAGGTTGTAGTACTATAATATTATTGATTCTTATATTTTTTAACTAAAGTTGTGTTGAGTAAACCTAGCATATCATTATGCTTATCAGTAATGATGCATGAATATGATCCCCAACAGTCATTACTCTGTGGTGTCCAGACAATGGCTGTGTTGTGAAAAATGTGTATTTCATTAATTCTTTTGTTTTGATCTCAGAATATACCTGTTGATATTAACATTTTAAACTAGTGCATTAATTTTAATATTATTGTCTGAAGAATTTAGATTTAAGTTAAAAAAAAAAAAAAAAAAAAAAAAAAAAAAAAAAAAAAAACACACACAAGGACAAGGTTAATTATATCTGAAAAACATAGACCAAATGTTATTCATGTGATTTTTTTCTCTCTCTCCTCCTCCTCCCTCCTCCTCCAGATGGTTATGTTTGCTAGATAGTAGTAGTCTCCTCTTCGTGTGTTGAGTTAACGGGCCCCTTGTTTCTTTTCAGGTCCCCCTGCCGGCCGCCCGTACTAAACAACCGGCACCAAGCCAGCCCAAGTCTCTTACCTTCATATGAAAGTCACTACAGTGAGACATCTTTTGTAAAAACAGAAAGTCTTTGTTTTGGTGATTTAAGTTATCTGGATTACTGTATTTTCTCTCTCTTCCTGAAGAACAACTTTTTTCTTTTTATACTTTATGCAGGATTAATTTACTTTAGTACCTGGTAAGTCCTATAACACTCCCATGTTTTTTATTGTATATTTGAGTGTACCTATACTTGTAAAATGAACATTGTAATTTTTTTGTAAAAAAAGAAAATAAAATATAAAAACTGAAAATGAAAATAA